ACATGAAAATGCAAACATAAAGGACCAGTAAGAATCAGAAGGACATTTCTTTTAGAAAATTTATACACTTCATTCATTCCTTTAACTTTCAGTTTTTGAGTGTCACCACAATATATATACTGCTGCATGAGTCATCTCAATGCTGTATCAACCAACATTTCAATTCTCTCTTATATTCCATTCTATTCTTTTGGGAAAGAACAGAAGAACAGAGCAATTTTAGTCAATTTAAAGTTTATGCTATGCTTGACACCTGACTTCACTTTAGTAACACCTGCCTGAAGAATAATTAGCAGGCCACTTTTAAAGAAAGAACTTCCATACACCACAGATGGCATTTTTCATACCAGACAGGCAACGATGTATGTTGGAAGTGAGCCAAACTGTCTGCAAAAACTGTGAGAAATTCAAGACAGACATCTGAATGGAAGGAAAGTTTTACCTTCCTCACCACCCCTACCCCCCACACCATTTGGGAACATCTGTTCAAACCTACCTTTCTATATAATACACTTTATTTTTCTTATCTACTAATACCACAAATAGCAGAATGAAAGCAACATGGCAAGATTCTTTCATATTGCTTATGGAACCTACAATTTAATAACTTAATGTGATGATTTGCCAGCTATACAAATCCTGCATTATGACTCCTGTTAGAACCAAAACCAGAATTTTCATAACCCCATACTATGGGGTTCTCAACTCACATTTCAATAAAGTGGTCCTAATTTTCACTGTGTACTCAAAACTTTGTTGAAATCAGGATACTGTGTGTCATAATGGAGGCACAAAGTCAGCAGTCACTTTGGAAATTATTGGCTAATGTCTTAATCCTGGACTGTTCACTGATTTGTATGAACTTTTTTGTGTACTTTGGGCTAAGTCCAAATCCTTGTGAAATCAATCGTAATCTTTCCATTGCCATCTATAGGCTTTAGAGGAGGTTCTTTGCTGCCTTATAAGAACCTTTACTTCTTTCTTGCAGAAATATTCCATATAAAAGGAATCCTGAGTTCTCATAATAAAATTGTCATCAGAATCAAATGTCTTACACAAATATGCTAAAATTAGAAAACTGACAGCTCTACGTTGTACCTAGTACCACTTATGGAAGAAAAGTTGTGTATTTTATTTCCATAGTTCCAGCAAATAGATATCTACACAAGAATTATAGAAATATGTATACAAAATTATTTACAATGTGTTGTAATTCCAAATTTTGGGGCTTTTTTTCTCCCCTGCTAGGTTTTAGTCCCTTAAATGCATTTCTGTGGTGATTTCATAGAATTTTTCTAAGTGCACTTTTCAAGATACATTTTTAATTTGGGAAAATGCCCATTTCAGTATTTTCTCAGCTGTGCATGTGATTTTTTGGCAAATAATGTGGTAAGTATTCAGAATAGACATATTTCTAAAAACCCTGAAGTCCATAAGCAACCATAAGTAACATATACAGTGTCTTTATGTTCATGGTGACACTAGGATGAGAATCCATCCCTAATTACTAGACTATACCTACAGATATCTGACACGTTAATTTCTTCATATTGTTTTGGAGCATGCTTTTATAATACAAATTTCATTATATTATTGTGTGGTTATGAGACAATAAATTCCTACAGAAAACAATTCTTTATTTTTTGAAGTTTACTTAAAGGATAAGTGAATCTCATTAATTTGTTGGTCACCAATGTAAATAACATTTCACAAAATTTCTCTTAATGGATAGTAACTTTTCAAAATTTTCCAAAAAATAATTGAAATATTAGCAGAAGAGTACTTGTGTCCAAATTTTTTCTTTCTTGAGAAATGTCAATCTATGAGCTAGCAATCTTATTCTATTAGACAACAGAATTAAATATTTGAGTTCAAATATATAACCTTAATAAACATAATACACAAAGATTTTTAAAGTTTTTCGTTCACAAATTCCAAACAAGAATAGAAAAAATCATTTATGGAAAGAATGGGAATATGGCAACACACTTTATTCCTGTTAATTAGTCCTCTGAACACAACCAGTAACATTTTAATAATTATTTAATATCCTGAATCACATTCTTATACCTTATCTTAACTATATTTTTCAATTCTTCTTTGAAGAATGACATACTGCTCTCTTTTTGTGAATCCAGTTAAGGGAAGGAGTGAGGGTTGCAAGAGTTGGAATAGGTTCTCATAGAAGGCATTCAAGGGGCAAATAATATTTAAAAAGAACCGTCACAGGACATTTACTAGAGCCCTGAATCTAATCCTGCAAGGCTTACTTGGCCTGTCAAGTTGGCCAGTACAAATTTCTTTAGTGCACTTTTAAAATCTTTGGAGTTTTCCTAAAGAAAAATGATTTAGCAAACTCTTCATTTACAATGCTTTGTAGGATCTTCTCTGTTTATTGGTCTCAACCAAATCTACTGTTCAGGTGATTGTCCTGCATGTACAACTTGGACAGAAGTAATAAAGGACTGAGAAACTGCTAAAACATTTGCAGTTTTTACAGATGAATGTGATAACCTCTTATTATGCCATGTGGAAGCCCTGAATAACAGCCAGGGGCCTTAAATTACATTGAAACTGATTCCTACACCACAGCTCTCAGCCGTAAATGATGCCAAAAGACCATGGGCTTAAAATTAAAATGGAAAGAAATATATAAAAGCAAATGAGCTCCAGTGAGTCATTATTAATCTGAGGTTATAGAGCCCATCACTACTGAAGCCCTATGCCAGTTACTGCCAGTTATCTGTTACATTGTCTTTTTTAAATGAATATAGACATCAGGTTGTATACCAAATTCTTCTTTTCAATCCACACACATTACATAATAATATTAAATTACAGTTCATAAATAGTTAAATGTTATTCTTTAAAATTTCTTGAATCTTGTAGTTTATCTTAAATGCTGCATGTACTTTCTTCAATACAAGCTCACCCAAGAGACACCAAATGACTGAAGTCAGGAAATTCTAAATGAGGGCTCAAGCTGACATTTTGTTCCTAATTTATGCCTCTAACTTATAGCTACTAAGAGTGCATGTCCTAATAGTGCTTCTTTCTTTATTTGTATAAATAATATTATTGCAGCAGTCAGAACCTCCGCTTAAAGCAGGAAACATAAATTACCTTGAAACTTGGCCTGTGGTAGAAAGATATAGGTATAGAGTCTCTTCTTTTTTTCTGACTACTTTTGGATCAATGAAAAGTCAAGAAAAGATGCTACTTTTGTACTTTTGCACAAAAAGTACTACTTTTTGTGTAGTTAAATAAAGCCAGCCACCTTGCAATGGTATTATTTTAACAATAGCTCAATATCTAAAATAATGAAGCTAAAATAAACAAAATAATGAAATAAAAACCCAGCAGTTATAAAGGAAGAGAAAGAAACCCTGCAATTGGTATATAGCTTTGTACCTGAGAAAAAAGAATTCTTATCATCCATCATGCTGAAAATTAAACTGTTAAGCATCACTGTCATTTTACAGTTAATTATATTTTCTGTGTATATTTTCTGAGTACATTTTTATGTCTGGCTCAGAAACACACCAACATAAAATCAGAGATTGACTCTGGAGAAATACGATGTTGAAACTATGGTTGCTCAAAATCCTCATGATTCATCAGAAGCCAGATTCATTGACAACAACTCATGAAAAGTGATTATCCACTATTTAATAACAGTAAATAATAAAGATAGACCAAACTAACTATGTTTCATTACAGTTACATTTCACTCTATAACCAAGTGCTTGCACAACTTTGGGAAAGTCACAATCTTAGGGGTTGATTTTGTCCATGTGTTAAATGGTAAAGTCTTAGCTATACCACATGACTAGACTGGTAGAAGACTTAACAGTCTGCAGACAGATATAAAACAGCAAAGATAAAACAAACCCTTAAGTTTATAGTTCAAAAGCCTTTAACCGTATCTGTTTTCAGTAACAAAATTGTGCTACAACTTTGATACAAACTCATGGCACCTTACTGCACATGGTTGATCCCAGGAGCTTCCCTAAGAGAGTTTTTGTGTAATTGGTGTATTCAGAAGAAAATGAGACACCATCTGCATTGATGAGTCCTGAGCAGACCTGCTGAGCTGCAAAGAGGGGCTTACAAAGTGTGGGGCATTTCTTGCTGCTCTACGTGGCTTGAATAGGAGCTAGCTGAAATCTGGAAGAAGCATGGCTGTATTTCTGTGGGGCTAGGAAGTTCCTTCAAGAACATGGTGGCAATCGCTGTGCCTTCCTAGGTCCAGCTGCTGCCAGTGCAGGATCTCTGCGCCTCGGTGTGCGCACCAATGGTGCACCAACAAACCGTGGTTAAAAGCCGAGAGGGGTCTTTAAGTAGTCTGAGAAATGAGAGTTAGCGCCTTACAGCCATTTTCAAAGTCTGAACTGCTTTTAAAGCATAGGAAATGTTAAATTTTTTTTAGTTGTCTCATTTTTAGTTCCTTGCCTTGGGCTAGGAACACATTGGTGCGTTTCACATAATGTAAATAAAGCACATCCATTTGTTTTGTAAAGTGTCAGCTCAAACTTGGTTGATCTGTTTTCAGATGCAGTTTTAATTTTTTCATGAATGACAGCAAGAAACAATTCTGCAAACTTTGAAAGGTATTTTCAGCCAACAGTACTTGGAAGACATCTTCTCTCCCCTTTACTACCAAAACAAGTCACATTATATTTGACTAAGTCTCTGTGGTTAAGAAGTGTTATTTGAAAATTAAAGATAATTATTTTAAACTTTCCATTGTAATTTTTCATTTTGAAATGTAGTTATATTTCATTTAAGGGGAAAGAAAAAATAGCCAAGAGTAAAAGCTTTAGTATGAATCACTGTAAGTTTTTTCTGTTCTCATAATCCCTGCAAAACCCAAAACCCTTTCCCACCCAGACATAAATCAAAAATATAAATATTCACAATAGTTAGCTTACTTCTCTTATCTCATTCCTGTTCTCAGCACTTTTGTATGACAAGGACATTTAAAAAAGAGCTGAGAAAAAAATGCAAAGCCCCTTAAGCTGCAATCAATAAAATGTTCTGAAGTCTTTTAAAAAATGAATTACCCATTGATTGGATATTTTAAACTAAAATGGTCAAGGCAAGAATTAATGTGCAAGAAAGATCAAACTTGCAGTGGAAAGGAATTGGAAAATAGACACAGATTTCTTGATTGCATTTAATTTTCATGATGCCCTACTGCTCCACATAGCAGAGTTTCAGCGAATGCTCACAAGTACCTGCTAGGATGTGCATATTTCTTGCTCTCTCTTTTTTTCACCCACTTCCTTCTATCACACTACCCAGTCCAATTAATCTCTGAATTTTTGAGGAGATGCTTTGAGTTTTTATATTAAACAACTTTATTAAACAAAGGCATGATTAATATAAGTATGCATCCCTTCCTTAAATTTATTCCCTTTCATCCATTTCAACAAGTTCTACAAAATAACCCTTTACATTTGCTTTAAATATGGAAAAATGATGGAACAAAGTCTTGTTGGTTTTGGCTGAAGACATCATTCGCTGCTAGTTAAATTTTTCCTGCTAAAGGAAAGAGTTTCCCAAATGGATCAAGGTAGAAGGTTTGTCCAAGATTAAAAGCCTAAGTTTGAAAACAGCTTTGTGTTGTCCCCAGACGAAGTTCCAAAAGACACAAAAAGAGACAGAGCTGCTTAGGCAAAAATCACTTTTAGAGTCCTATGTAATCACTATAGAGAGACCAGAGTTATTTAAAAAGGATTATTTATTAAACATATTTCTTTACAAAGTACAATCAATGGTTTGCATTAAATTTTGGGGTTTGGTATTTGCCTGTATGTACACAAAAGCTTATAACAGAAATTATGTCTTGATTTTACACATGGCACACAATACAGAGTTACCTTCATATTTTGATTTCTGCCAACATAAGCAGTTGATAATAGCTTTCAGTTTAGCTGCTGTTTTTTCAAAGTGAACATGAAGCAACAACATTTCTGCAGAGTTTCAGCATTTATCAATGTACTCAATTATGACAAAGTAGAGACGACTAATCCTTTGAAAAGTTTCCACTGAGCATGAGTGGAACATGACATTTTTGGCAGGTTACTGGACTATCCTTATGATTGTTAAAATCACTTTTTGCAGTTATAAGATAGGAAGAATTGAGGAGCTAGGTAAATTTAATAATACCCTATTAGCAGCAGTTGATAGTAAATGCAACATAAGGTTTGTTTTGTCTGTCATACAAGGATGTGTCCTAGCAGACACTATTGTATTGTTCTCTACTTGAACAAAAGTATCTGCATTTATTGTATGTCTTTGGTAAAACAAAACAAAGATATAGAGACAAAAAGCCATTTATTGTCATGAGTGACTATTGCCATCAACTAATATGAATGCATTGCTAAAAATTAGTGAAGACAGAAAAATGCTGTAAGGTAAATATATACAGAGTTAAAATACAATTCTTATCCACTAGATAGTGATTTTGTGGCACTGTGGTTTTCAGGATATAACGTCTTTGAGAGCAATGTAATTTTCAGTGCAAGCTTAAGCAAAAATACCTGCCCGCTGTCATAAAAACGACAAACAAATCTGGAATGTTCAAAGTAAGTTTGTCTTCCACTTCTCCACTCTTGAGGCACCTTTAAGACATGGCACTTACTGTAAACCATCAAAGAATCGAGAAAAGCAGACACAATAAGCCTGAATTTTCCATAACAACTTTAAAGATCACTGCCAGAGTCACTTGCATAAGTAAACGATGCCTGTGTAAGGCTTGCCAGCAAAGCATCTTTCCTGAGAACGGAGCTGGGGCACTCTGTGTGCATCATAAGTGTGCGTGCTCGGAGCTGTGGTCGCTGTCGTGGCTGTCGTCGTTGGCTAGAGAGTCCCCCGTGTGCTGGAGCCCGGCGGCGCCGATGCCGGAGAGCTCGGAGGGGAGCAGCGTGCCCTTTTTCACATTCACCAGTTCCTTCTCCCGGGCTGCTGCCCCTTGCTGGCCCCCTTTTACGCGCTTCCACTTCATCCGTCTGTTCTGGAACCAAACTTTTACCTTCGCAGAAGAAAGACAAAACAAGAAAATAAAGATGGGGTCACTGAAGGTAAAAGTCAACTTTCTACCTGTAGTGCAGCGCTTGGGGATTGTATTTTGCTAATGTGCCTTTCTGTCTGGATGGTAAAGAGCTTAGCAAGATTTCCCTGAAGACCAGGCAATTCAGTTTTGGGTAGGATGTGAACACTGGGGATAGTGACAGCAAGGGAGGAAAAGGAGCTATTCTTAAGAAGACAGTTGGGCTATCTGCTACACACAGTTCTGTAGGAACATCTCCAAGCCCTTCAAAAAACATTCAAAAGATCACATACTCTTGAAAAATATATTAATGCCATTTGTCAGAGAGAGAAACAAAATCAAAATATTTCCCATCAAGGGACTGTGCAAAAGAATATACAATTTGAGTAACAGAGAACCCTTCATCAGATGGTAGTTACTCTGCAAAACAACTTGCCTGAAATTTGGCATTGCTTTCTTCTTTGTTTCTGTTAGCTGGTGATGAGTTTCAGGTGCACCACTTTAAAGGTGCCTTTTTATTTAAACTTGCTGAAGTATCTGAAAGACCATTTCTTACTATAAGAGCTTAAGACTTCCCTGTCTATTTCACAAATGTGTTCAAATTATTCTAGTCAACTGATCCTTTATTCTGCTGCATTTAACCATAGACAAATTATTCTAGTCAACTGATCCTTTATTCTGCTGCATTTAACCATAGACCCTGATCAAATTTTTTAGACAAATAAATACTCCCAGAGTCAGAAGGCAAGGCATTTATAAATTGAGTCAAAATTAGCAAATAATTTCAGATAAGAATGATAAAGAAATTCATAACATGGAAGACTAAAAATGTATCTGTGTTTAAGTCATATTAAACCCCAAGATTTCACACCAGCTGAAACTCATTATCGCTCCTCCCCATCTCTGTATGGAAATATATGAGGGAAAAGTAAACCTAAATTATTTGCACTGCAAACCACAATATTTTTCAATAGCCAAAAGAAAAGTAAAAAAAAAAAAAGATGTGCATAGCAGCTGTCAAATATATTAGACCAGATTAAAGGCTGATTTCAGATCAGCTTCAAGTACTGTCACTGAGAACAGTATGAATAGAATATTGTTCAGTTTGATTCATTTAATGTTGCTGAAAAATCTTGTGTGTCTGTATGTCTGTGTGTCTGTGTGTGTGTGTCTGTGTGTGTGTGTATGCAGCTCTTCAGATGAAGGTTCCACAGAAAAATAAACAATGCCTGCAACATTTAACTTGGAAAAAAAGCAAGAAAGCCTGCAATGCTAGTATATCCTCTGCTGTGTTTAGCAGAATGTGTTTCAGAGTTTTAAAAGAATCAGCAAGCAACAGGCACAGCAGGACATATTGTTCAACATGAGTAATAGAGCCACAAAAATGCTGTTTTGCTGAATCTGTCTTACACATCCAGGAAACCTCACAGTTTTTAACCTTTACTATTGCTTTGAATTTTGCATTAAAATTTTACTACAGTTGAACTGATAGATAGCATCGTGCTCTTTGTAAATGTATATAGGAAGGAAGAGAGCTTATTTATTTTTTAAATAGTCTCTATTCCCGTTAAAGCCAAAGTGAGCTGCTAAAGCAAATCACTTGGGAACAGAGAAAAATGATTCCAGGTTAGTTAAGAGCCTTTAAGCAGAGCACATCTTTTCCTCTAGTCAGCTCATCAGAGCCAAAGAAATCTAGCTTGCCAAGTGAAAAAGTGTAAAAGGGAAGATATTTATTAGTGGCTGCTGTGATGTTGGATATTACCATACTCAGAACTGGTATCAGAAGAGTCTGTCACTGAAACAATGTCTTCAAAAGGGTATAGCATTGGCAGCTTTCTGGGAGAAGTGATAATATTTTGTTTCGTTTTTGGGGGGTTTTTTAACAGTGAAGTTTCCCTTGCAAAAGGCACTGCTCTACTTGTGCCAGGTAGCGCAGTAGGCACAACTGCAATAATTATCTGAACATCAAAAATAATACACTGGGTTGGACCCATTATCACAGGATATTATCCCACTTCTTATGAAATAAGGGCCAAGCCATTATTCTTTGGTAAGAAAAAATTACAGGATTGGAGTAATTATTAAAAGGTCGAAGCAATTCTCTGGATATTTTTATGTCCTTGAACATTCACGGAATAATTCACATCACTCAAAGCCTAGAAGAGAGTAATAATAATTTATAGAAAACATGGTTTCAAGAAACATGACAATAATGCAGTTGAAGTAAAGGTTTCAGTGCACAGCCTGGATGCAACCTACTTTAACTTACTGGAATAAGAGACATCCAGGCCTTCTGGATGTGGTCAGTTCATTTGTGAATACTTGAGAAACTAAAGCTAATACTCCTGTGACCAGTCAGACACTGTCCTGGATAGGACAGGAGTGAACAGGATGATTAATGCCTGGCTTCTGTTCCAGGTGCTCATTTCTGCTCTCTCACAGACAAAACTAATTCTCACATTGCTAAACTGACATTTTTGACTGTTTTCTACTGTAATTTAATAACTTATTCTGGTTTTCATTTTTATGATGATACATTTTGGTTCTGCTTGTTATAATTCAGGCCATTTTGACAACAGCAGAGTTGAGATGAGTCTGTGTCCTTGAGCATTAAATCCAAAAGATTGACCCCAGGTCCAGGTAATGAGTAACTGAATCCAGGCTGGGGAGTACTTCTTCCTTCAGATCACTGGCCTTCAGATCAGCTCAGAAAATTATGCCTTAAGGTGCCTCCACCAGGGATTAGTAGAGGTCAGCACCTGCATATTAGTTGATATAAATCAGTAAAGGGATGATGACTTCCTTTTTCAAGGATGAGCACTAGTTACATTTGCATATTCCTCCAAGGATCCAGCATGTAATGCTATGTCTGCAGGTGACCCATTGTATGGGAAACATGGCATTTTGGGAAAGTTGGGCTGAAATGACTCCAGCTCCCTTTGCATGAACTCTCTTGAGTGTAGAAGGAAGAAAGTAACCCTGACAATCTCTTAGGAGGAAATATACTACTGAATATTATGAACATATAGCCTTCCCATAAAGAGAAAATGGTAACAATGTTAAAAAGGGGGGGAGGGGGGGGGAAGGCTTTTTTGTTCATTACTTTAAATAAACTGCATCTGGTTTACTGACAGAATAAAAAATAAGCAATTGCTTTTTTGGTATGTCAAAGTTTATTCTCAAAAGCTAGAAATCATTTATAGTCTATTCTCAAAAGCTAGAAATCATTTATAGTCAAGTTTATAATTGAAAATTTTGTGAGTTTATTTTGATGCCATTTGCTGTGCTAATGTACTGCAGGGTTCTTATATAAGGGAATGCATTATACACACATAAAATATTTTTTACTATATATTTCTTTATGTCCTCTATTATGAAGTATTGAAGTCCACTTTTGATCTGATCCAAAGTACACTAATGTCAATGTGAGTTTTTTTTCATAGAGCTCAGTAGACTCTAAATGAAGACCTTAATGCTCATTTGCTAATAATATGAGACAGGTACTTCACTTGTTATTTCCTCTAGAGATCAAATTTAGATATTGGAATTCTGAACTTCCTTTGGAGCTGAAGGTCAGTTATAGAGGGTATAATTGTTACTGATACGTGATCCATCGATATTTTAGTAATGGAAAGGAAGTGAAGCAAACTTTGTGTGCAGTAATTCAGAGCATCAGTTTATCTTGGTTCATGGAAAAGAATGCTTTTTAAACGCACAACTCATTTAAATCTTCATGCATATAACATGAGTCAAAACAAAAAACCCTGAGAAACATAAAGGAGAGAGGATAAAGAAAGAAGATAGAAAATAAAAGAAGTAGAATAAAATAGAATAGATCAAGAGTGACAGAGTGACTGAATGACTGAAAGAAAAATAAAGAAAAATTGAAATAAAAATAGAGAGAAAAAATCCTTGCTGAAATGAACTTTAAAAATTTTTGAAATTTCCCCCAGTGAAAAAACTAGTAGTGACATTCACAACTTTTGCAAAAAATTATATCCTTTAAGAAAGTTTAAAGATCTACTGTGACAAACTTAATAAGATTTACAGAGCTTTTAATGCTATTTTTCAAGCCTGTTAGCTCCAGCAGGGTCTGAGCGTGCTCACCACCTCTCAGAATCAAGTCCTGATTGCCTACTGTTTATTGAAATGCACTCCCTCGTCTCCACCCTTTGACTAGCACAACTTGACTGTATGGAGCAACATGTGCATGCACAGCAAACAAAGGAAGTGGCGGGAAATGAGCTGCATTAAAGATGATGGTAGCATTAACAGCTGTTTCTAAATCAGCGCTTATGAGGCAGTCTATTGAGCACATCTGCTTACTGGCACGAAAGCCCTGCTTCTTTTCCCTTAGTCAACAAGTTGTTTAGCATCTGCATCTCCACATCTGATGATTAGACTGTTACTTTAGATACGAGTAAATTATTTCTCATCGCATATCTCCTGATCTACAAGATAAATGTTTTGCTGTGACCAATTTATTTTAAGGTCTGCTCTGTAGGAATCATAGGAGGGGAGTTAAAACAATGAGGTTGACATTGTTAGTGTCTACATTGCCAAAATAATTATTACATACTTATGATATATAGGTTCTTAGTAGTCTGAAGGACCACATGATGGGCTGTGTTGGATGTGTATCTTTAATATAACTTCCTTATGTGGACATCAACAACTCCTTTTGATTCAAAATGTAAATATTTCCTAAAGCTTCTGATTTAATGCTCCTTCTTCAGCAGAGCCTTTCAGTCATGTTAACTTTAAGAATAACTGAATGAAAAAGTAATGACTGAATTCAAACTATCTTACTTTTACTATCAGCTCCCTTTCTTCTTTTAAGAAAAAAAATACTTTCTCTTTATAAAAGCTATTTTCTGGAAATGAAAAATTCTTTCCTAAAATCCAGTTTTCTATTCCAGGTTTTAGTGGCATGAGTCCTAAACAAGATTAAAATTTGAGGCCTGATATCTAGAGAGCCTTAA